AGGGGGGGGGGGGGGTGCACCTGGGGCGCTAGGGATGACTTTCGTCAACCTTGACACGCCATGATAAGCCACCATAATGGGCAGTGCAAGGAGCAGTTTGCGAGAGGCGCCCAAGTCGATCCCATGCCTGGTTCTTGCGACGGCACGGGCGTCTCGCAGTGCCTCGCTTGGAGACGATGACGATGCGGGCTGGACATGGGCATGGGCATGGTAAGATGAAGGCAACAGGCATGCGGTACAGAAGGTTGTTCAGGGTCGTCCAGGTCCCTGTTGGGGCCCTCCTAGGCTTGTTGAGGCGTCTGTCGGCTTTGATGAGTCTGTTCTGATGCATGTCGATGGCGCAGTTCCCCAACTCGGATCAATGGGCGCAACCTTGGAAGATTCGATAACGACCAGACGGAGCCTTGAATGTTAGCACGTGCAGGGGTCACTCAACGGGTGCTTAGCGGAAGAGACGGCGCCCCGCCCCCGGGCCGTCAATCCACCGCCAATCCAGGCTCCACCTTTCACATCCCCTTGAATCTTCCATATTTGCTGTACGCTTGCAAGCCTTCGCCATCACATCATCCTCGTCCGTTTCTCCATCTTCAATCAACCCCCAGACAGCCGCCAAACCGAGCCGGGAAAACGCTCCGCTCAACTTGAGCTTGATATTCCTGCAAAGCTGGGACATAATGGCCCTGATTGCGGGAACAAACATGGGATCTTGCACTATCAGAGAGACCGGCGGCCATCTATTTACCCGAAATGCCCAATGCAATCCATGATTAAATAATACACATGATAAAAGTCTCAGTATTCCTGTCAGAGAGCCCCAGCACGACCGGGGGAACGACGACAACCTGGAATTCGTTCAGGGACCATACTCGTCCCCCAACTCCCCACCCATGCCATTCTTTGACCAGAATTTCCGACCCCTCAAGAAGCTCCTCCATCTCCTCCATCCTGCAGGCCAAACTAGGTGTTTCCTAGTAAGACAGCACAGTACCTGCAGCTCAACCTCCCCAGGTTATCCTGATCCGGCTTCAGCATGAGGCTTTTGGGTCTCGGTGCTATGCTTCTGGCCCAGCTGGGTGTCGGTGCCGCGACGTTCACCTTGAGTGAGGTTCAGGCACAGATCGAGGCTTATCAAGAGCAGAATGGAACCCACGTCGCGCCGTCCGATCCCCAGTTTGGCTGTAGTCTAGCTGTAAGGTACTTGCCCGAGACTTGTAAGTCGTCCAGAGAACGTGCGACTGGCTGCTAATCGACGCTGTAGTGTGGCTTCTTAGCCTTCAGCCAGCCTGGAAAACTATCATACCCCAATAGCCTGGCCTATGAATTCGAGGAGTCGCGGTACTGGTCCCAGCAACAGGCGCTCACTCGTCCTGCCTGTAGATTTACACCAGGTGCACCAGTCGACGTGTCGCTTGCCGTGTTGACGTCTCGCGTGACACAGTGCAGGTTTGCTGTCAAGAGTGGTGGCCATGCCGCCTTTGCTGGTGCCTCCAACATTGAGGGTGGCTTGACGCTGGATCTGAGAAACCTGAATCAGGTTGTCGTCTCTGCTGATAAAAAACAGACATCAGTTGGCGCTGGAAATGTTTGGTACGACGTTTACACCAAGCTTCAGCCCACGGGCTTAACGGTCATTGGAGGCAGAGTGTCTGCTATTGGCGTCGGTGGCTTGACTCTGGGCGGAGGGATTTCATTCTTTTCTAACCGATATGGCTGGGCTTGTGACAATGTCAATAACTTCCAGGTAGGTCGACTGACCGTCTTGCGGTCTTGTCCATTTGTAAACCCCGGGCAACTAACCTTTGGACAGGTAGTGTTCGCCGACGGTTCTATCCGTCATGTTAATTCCCGTGCCTACTCTGACCTGTACTGGGCACTTCGTGGTGGAGGAAACAACTTTGGTATTGTGACTCGCTTCGATCTCGCGACATATCCTCAAGGTGATATGTGGGCTGGCTCTCAGACCTTCCTTTTCACCAATGAAACGGCGACTGCTATAAACAATGCCTTTTACCACTTGGCCATCAACTCACCGCAAGATCCCTACGCTCAGATCATCATTGCATATGCCTATGTCCAGTCCCGAGGCGTATATGTTATTGCTTCCGACCTTCAGTACGGAAAGCCCACTCCCAACCCGGCTATTTTGAACAACTTTACCTCAATACCTGGACCTGTTGCAGACACGCTCCGTGTTACCAACCTGACAGGCCTGACCCTTGAATTCAACAGCAGCAACCCTAGCGGCTTCCGGTGCGTCTTCGCGTATTGCTTGACCTGCATCACGGCAACTAATTATTGTTCTCAGACAAACCTATTGGGCTCTCACGACTGGCAACGATGCTGTTTTGATGCCCGAAATGGTTGCCGTCTACCAGGACGAAGTTGAAAAGGTCAAGGACGCACCTGGGATTGTCCCCTCGGTCATTTTCCAGCCCATTTCTACGGATATGACCAAGCTCATGTCCAAAAACGGTGGCAACCCTCTGGGTCTTGCCGGCCAAGGTCCCCTAAACTGTATGCTCCTTTTGATTCGTGGCAATGTTCTTCATTGTTTCTGACCACGCACAGTGATCAACATTGATATTTCGTGGTCCAACGAGGCCGACGACATGCGCATTATTGCCGCCGCCCAGAACATGGCCACTCGCTTCGCCGCGGCTGCCAAGGCAAAGGGCTTGGACCACCCATATCTGTACCAGAACTACGCCGCCCTGCAACAAGATGTCTTGTCGAGCTACGGAAAGGTCAACTTGGCGAGGTTGAAGTCCATTCAGGCCAAGTATGATCCCACCAAGGCGTGGCAAAATCTGCAGCCAGGGTACTTTAAGCTTGGATAAGGTTATTCTAGTATCATATATATGTGTATATTGTCAGGGTTAGGGCCTAATTATACAAAACACCAATTGCCTAGTTGTATCTAAACCAGAGAACCATGACATGCCGATGGAAATATATACAATATACAACATATATGTGTATTAATAGACGTAGTAATATGTACATAGCCTACAAAGCTTTACATTATCGTCATGTGCAACTTCTTGCAAGGGTCAGAATTTCCGGGAGATAAACGGAGGTAGGCTCGTAATAGTAGCGACGATGAGACAGTGAATCGAAGCCATACCCATCCTCCCACCTCATATTTATTCAATCGACGCAGTTCATACCTCTAGTATCCTTGCGCTCCATCCCCCATGGTCCAATACTTGTCTACGGCAGATTCGCCGCCGCCGCACTCTCCTGACAAGAAACATGGCCATAGTTTCTGTAATGCTTGTTCAAAAGGGAAATTTGGCCGAGAACATGTGCCTGTTCCGAGGTTATGAAATTTACCAGATGTATGTATACACGAAGTCAGCTCTTTGAGAAATCGAGGGAATATTTGTGCCGATGTATTAGAGAAATTATTGGGAGGCTTCCGATATCCTAGTGGCACACGATATCTATGACAAAGTGCTCAGGCGCTCAGGTGAATGCGTGTGGATGATACAACTCTACGACGTGATTCTTATTGGAGGCTCCTCTAACTATCGCTAATATTGCCTTGTGCTCTATTGATGATAGTTGAGTTCCTATTGGCAGGACTTGAGGGAACTAAGCGAAGAGGGACGAAATATGTACTGACAGTCACAGCACTGCGGAGATGATGATGAAAAGAAATCCATGGCACTCTGGTGAATGTGTCTGCAGAGAAATACTGCGAGTTACAACTCCAGTTGAGTCACTTGGCATTGCATCTTTCCCGAGGCCAGCTACTACCATTCATATGATACCTCATGCTCAGCACCACACTGGACTCTGCATCTCTGCCCAAATAGTCACGTCCTAGAGACCAGAGACCCGCTATACCGTAGCATCCCTTCTCGCACTTATGTATGTGACTGATGATTTCTTCCCAAGTTTTCATCTGTTCGACAAAGTGCGGGCTTGCATTGAGTCATCTGGAGGACCTCGCTGTCCGGTACCCGTGTTCTGAGCGCGTGCGGGTCTCCTGGCCTCTCCACGACTATTGAATTCGGGCACAAATGATGAATCCGGTTTTCACCACTTGGGTTCCTAGTTAATGCGGGCTTTGGTCGACGTGTTTCCAAAAGTTGCAAGTCTAGATTGCTCGCTATCATGGTGGATATATTTCGGTCGTCTTGTCCCACTCAGGCAGATATAAACATGCCATGTGGAAAAATATTTGGCATCATGTAGCATCGACTGCGGATATTAGTCAACAAGAGTATCCATATATGCAGCCTGCACATAAACTTTGTACATGTGTTATTAGCAATCAAATACGACCCATCTATCATTGCGCTTAGTGGTTGGCAAATTTACAATAATTCACCTACTCCTATTGTACACTGCTGGCTTGTCTTCCACTTTGGTGCGAAGGGCCCTGCGATGGCTGACCGCTACAACGAACGCAACCAGTTGACGGGATGATCCTATTGAATGGCTGCGCTAGTAATCAAGGAACCGCGACAAACGGCCCAGTCAAACCCTGCCGGTCATCATCAGTTGCCCGCCTTTGACCCGATGTCGAGCATTTGAGACTCCACACCGAGTATGTATCCCATCAGTCGACGATCGCATAGATGTCTCCATGCATTTGCAGAGAGGGGCTTGGCCAGCCGATGAACATCAAGAGTTGCTGGAGAGCCAGTCGACGCATCGTACGCAGTACTCCGTATGTGGGTGCGTAGTACCGAGTCCGAGCCCAGACTTGTGGAAACTTGAAATACATGCAATTAATATGTCGTGTACGGAGTACGGAGTACGATATTGTGGTTTGAACTTGTGCGCCTACCAGCCACTCGATTTTCCCCATCGTTCCTTCCCAGCCCCAGCCTCAACCAGCACTCGAGCCCCGACCCGCTTCCAGATTACCATTGTCCAAGCTCTCTCTCTCCCTCTCTGTCTTGCAGATTGCAGCTGCAACCTGCACAAACCCGCATCGTCAGCGGTCTGCGCATCCAGCCTTTCTCCTGAGCACAGATCTGTTCTCTCCTCCCACTGCACAGATTGCATCGTGCCAGAAAAAAGAGGGCAAAAAAAAAAAAAAAAAAAAATTACCGTCGCATTGCCCTCCAAAACGAGAAAGTTGGACAACAGCTGCTTCCGACTATTTCGGTTTAAGGTTGCGGTCAAGCTATTTAAGCCTCCCCGAGGAGCTATCCTACCTTACCTACCTTGGCATCTACCATCCAGAGCAATTTTGCCTGCGCCCTTGGCATCTTTGCGCAGCCGGCAGAAGACAACAATGGGCTTCCTCGATCCTTTTACTGATGGCCTCTCCATCGGCCCCGGCGGCATGTCCCGCCCCTCCAAACACCGTCGGGATGCCTCTCGATCGCGCAGAAAGCACCGTTCCCGCTCGCGATCAAGCTCTCGTACCCGCGGCGGCGGCGGCGGCGGCAACTCGATCGCCGGCGCTCTGTTGGGCGGTCTAACCGGCGACAGCCACGACAGCAAGCAAAATTCGTCACGGGGGTCCTTTTACGGTGTCGGCAACAACAGCAGCCGCTCGAGCTTCTTCAACTTTGGTGGTGGTGAGTTGTTGGTCGCACACTGGCCCGAGGGTGGCCTGTTTCGCTAACACCCAATGCTCAGGGAGTCGCTCCTCGTACTACAAGCGGTCTCCTCGACAAGGCTTCATGCAGCGAGCATACAGGCGACTCAAACGCCTTATCCGAGATCTCATCCACTATGCCAAGCGCCACCCGTGGAAGGTGTTTTTCCTGGTGGTCATGCCCCTCATCACCACGGGGGCATTGGCCGGCCTGCTTGCCCGCTTTGGCTTGCGCATCCCGCCGTCTTTGGAGCGCATGATGGGCATGGCCTCCCGCGCGGCTTCCGGAGACTCCTTTGGACTCGTCAGCGATGCTGTCCGCATGGCCGGCGACTTTGGCGGCAACACCCGCGGCGCCAGCGTCTCCCGTGGCCGTGGCGGCGGCATGCAGTGGGAGCGACGATCCAGCTATGGCAGCTATGATGACTACGGTTACGGCAATTCCAGGGGCCATGGCGGCTACGGCGGGAGCGGCGACAGTTGGAGCAATACCATTGCGGATGTAGCCAGGCGGTTCCTCTGAGCTCTGCGTCGGAATTATACCCTTTCATAGCAGGCGAGCAAAGTACTTGATGAGCATAATAAGTCTTCATTCACTGGCGTATTTGGCGTTTAAAGGGTGGTGGGATACTTGGCTTTCAGGGTTGCCGACGGCAGTGGTGCTTGCGGATTGTTGGTTGTATTGGGTAGTATTGGGGCTGCGTCTGTCCCTTGGTTCGCTTAGAAATGGCCATGTTTACGCTCGTTATCATGCAGGCTATTATTTGACGATCCAATCTATATAATTTCATCCATCGTGTTGGGCATGCTACTGCGCAGAGTACGAACAGTGAGTACCTAGTAGTTGATCACTCTGAAGGGGACCCAACGTCATTCACGGTCGTCGGAGAGGTAATCACGCCGCAGCGCAAAGCAGTCGCATTAAAAACAAAGTCGTTCATAGTGTATAAGTTGTATCATTCATTTACACCTCAGCTTCGCAAATTCTGCCAAAATCTACCTCTTATATCCCATCGTCGCCTACCAAGCGCCGTCTTCGATCCCGCGCCCAATGCAAAATATGTCCAATGGAAGGAAATAAAATAACAAATACCACCCCCCTTGGACACAAGGCCCAACAAATACCAGAACTATTTTCAAGTCGTGGTACCTGAATCCTCAGTTCCTCGCCCGCCTCTACCCGTTAAGATATGCATAAAAAGGGATAAAGCAGATAAGAAAAGACATGTTATGTGTTCATGCTCAAAATAACAAATGCTCATGCAAAAGTCATCAAACGCCACATGCCCCATGTCTTCCTGTGTTAGGCGGCTTAGATTCAAATTTGTTGATTGTATGACCCCCTTTTCATCCTCAGCACTCCGTTTCAACGTGCCATCTGAGAAGAGTCCAATATCAGATATATCGTACCCATTCTCATAGTCGTTTGCTTTCGATAATGACACATGCAACATCTTGGCCACGTGATTAGGATTGTTGCTCACAAGATGGAAACCTGTTGAAAGCTGGATAGATGTCGTTCTTCCCATCACATTATACAGTGATTGCAAAATGCGCAGGTACGTAATAAGCCATATTCATTCGTAATAATATTTGGTGATGATTTTCTTTCCCCCCTTTTTTTAATTGTTTTTTCCCGTGAAGTTTTCTCTTCAGGTTCGCTGCTGCAATGTCATGCAAAGTGAAGAAAGATGTTATGTTCTCGCCGTGTCCATGACTCTGCATGGCAATGCTTATTTCGTGGCCAACGTGATTCACGTTGGGCTCGACTCCTTGTTTGGCTTCCAAAACTGCATCATGCGCCCAAGCCTTCTTGTCTTGCTGCTCTTTGACCGACTTCTTCTGCCTTCTGCCTCATTTTCCAAGGTCACTTCCATGGAAAGTTTACTCCTCTCGCCGTGTGAGCTGCTGATGAGTCGGCTCAGTGACACAAGACTCGATCGACGGCGTCCGAAAGCGGCCGAGGAAACTGACGATGGACGTTGCTCCCGGAGGCTTGGCTGCGACATGCGTGCACTGGGTATGAAGGCGCTGTCTCGAGTCATTGTCGAGTTGCTTGAGGTCAGTGACGGAATATCGTAGTCAACTGAGATCCGCACTTCAGGACCAGGTTCACCCATCAGCAGCGAATGGAAGCTGTTCTCATCGGTGACGGACGAGGGGGCAGTAGAGATTCGCTGGGCGTCGATGGACATAGGTGATCTTGGTGAGGGGTAGGATGAGGCATGGCTTGTCGAGTATGGACTGGTGGGCATTGCTTGATTTATCTCAACCATTGACAAATCTCGTTGTCCAGGTGGCATTCTTGGAGAAGACGAAGTTGAACCATGTTGATCAGCTGGTAAGCCCGGCAAGACCGGACCACCGCGGAAAATGATGAGCGCAGGCTCTTCATTAATAACGTCTTCGTGCAGCGACGTCCTGGAGCATTCTGTGCGAACTGCATGGGCAGAAGTCGAGTGGTCAGTGTTGCATGTGCCAGAGCTTGCGTTGCGATGAACTGCCGCAGCTGTCAGCTCATCCACACCAGGAATCAAAGAATCTGCTGTGATGAGTTCTGTTGCGGGTGGCGTCATCTCCCCGTCTGAATCGTCATTCTTTTGGGCGCCGACCTCATTCAGAGCAACTTCGGCCTGCTCTGGCTTGTTTTCACTCTCCTCCTCCTCTTCTTCTTGTTCTTCTTCCTCCTCTTCAAACACGTCTGCCATTGTAGAGCTGCTACCAAACCGACTAATGCCAGCGCGGCCTGGATCAAATGGTGGCAAATCTGGCGCTGATTCTGTCCGGCGATGATAGTGCATACCGGGTCCGCTAAACCCTTTCAAACCCTGTGCGCTGTGTAGTCGGCGCTTGTTGACCAAACCAGCTGCTCGCTGTGCTGCATCCCACTCCGGATTGTGAGGCAACGGCGTATTGAAAGGACCAAGAGCAGCATCCAAGTCAATCATAGGGTACGAGCTCTCTTCCTCGGACCGTCGTTTGGGGACACTAGGTTCTTCAAGAGGTGGTGATTCAGTTACTGTAACGATAGGAGGTGCTGGCGCGGATGCCGTTTCGTTTTGTGTAATTTCGCAGTCCTCATTCTCGTCCTCTTCATCTGCAACTGGACCTACCGACGCCGGAGGTGTTGGTGGGCGCACTGCATGCATCTTTGGCCGTTTTTTATTGTTTCGAAGGGGTAATATTGATCCAGCCCAACCTTTCACTCGTTTCTTCTTGCTCGTCTTTTTGCGGTCCTTTTTAGCAGGGCTAGTAGAGCTGTCCCCAACAGTGCCTTCATCACCCGACGAGCTAGATTCATGTGAATCGGATGAAAGTCCTCCAGGAACGGTCTTCGAGATGGACTCTGAGGAACTAGAACTGCAAGACCGATGTTTGGATGACGGCGTGGAACCCATGAAAGGTTCCAAGCCAAAGAAAGACCACCTCTTCGGCGTCTTTGTTGGACTAGGCGGTGTTGCACTGATGGGCTGCGAGTTGGCCATATCTAACAATGTTGGAATGGAGTTTCGTCGTCTTGGAGAGGTGCTAACTCCGCCGCTGGCAGCCTTAAAATCAGTAGTGCGTTCCAAAATAGCACCAGCCGTGCTTGGTCTGGAGTCCACCATCTCACGGGTAGGACTTCGAGCAAGAGATGCAGGACTTTCGCGGCCTCCAGGGGAAGCAGCGGAAACAAGGGAAGATATGCTGCCAGACACGGAATGCCCCGGGCGAGCCGTCATTGTACTTGATGTGTCGCTAGAGACCAGTGACAGTGGCCGGGGAATAAATTCTAGTGTGTCCGAGAATCCAACTCGAGCCCTCCCCGGTCGCGATTGCCTCAGGGAAGGCTCTGGCTTTGGAAGAGAAGATGATGTGGTTACAGAGTGGTTGCTGATTGTGTTCTTCTCGGTCATGTTGAACGGCTGCGGCGCAATAGGATTGGCAGGCTCTGGCAGTGGAGGAGGTTGGTGGTCTATGGGCAAAAGAGTACCTTCCTTTGGATTGAATGCGGTTGGGCTATTTGGCGCGCTGCTTCCCTTTGGTCTTAAAAAGTCGGGCTGCGGATGGAGAATAGGTAGCTCGTTGGTAGATATCGTGCCAGAGACGCCACGCCGATGGCCTCTACGCGGTGGGTGAAGTCCCGGAGAAGCGAAACCACTCTCCGATTTGGTTGGGCTGGTGCTCATGATGGCAATAGAACTACCGTCTCGAATGCTGCCCCCCACAAACTCACTTCCTCCACGTCGGTGTCCATGCCCGGCGGGCCGTAACGGTGATGGGAAGGCCCTGGCTGAATCTGGTGTAATTGGAGGGCTGAGAGCCGTCATCGATTCAGGACCTGTGGACAAGGCTGCGCCAGGGTTGAAACTAAACTGTGGAAGCGCTGCTGGTCGATGAGCCCTGCTAGACGACTCTGTAGTCGGAGACACCGCAGACCTATTCTGAAGATCTACCATGGAGACTGGTCGTCGACGCTGCCTGGACGTGGGTGGCGACGAGGAAGAAGCAGAGCTGGCTGGGAATACGAATGGCGGATTGGGAGGACGCGAGTCGGCAGGAAACGAGAAATCCTGATCTAACCCACTCGAGGCGGCGCGTTTTGGAGCAAATGGCTGTTCGATGGCATGCATGCTTGTGGTCGAAGCGCTGGCATCAGGCGCCGCACACCCTACGTGGTGAGAAGTTGCCATCTATCCTGGGCCGCGCTGCGGCAAGAGAACCGATGGACAACTTAGGACGTCGTGGAGATCATAGGAGGATCGAAATTGCTGAGTGAGAGCACAAGGGCCTCGTTCGTGACGAAATTGAAACCGAGACCGCAAACGAAGGAACGAAGAATACTCCGGCTAAGGCAAATAACAGATGTGAATATGCACTAAGTCTACAACCCGAGACTGTAAAATTAGCACGCTTTGGGTCGAATTACACAAACAACGTTGCCGCGGCTCGACGACTGCGACGCACATCAGAATCAACCATGAGATTGCTTGCGGAAGTGTACCAACCTGGTGGAAGAATGCAAAAAAACGCACGACACTGAAACTGAGTGCAAAAGCCAACTTGTCATAGGCAGGGCAAAATCAAGGCGACAAAGGAGTGGACGGCCAAAACCAGCGCCTGCTCTCGACGAGAAGTGCTGCTGGAATTGCACCAAGTTGGCGGTGATGAGTTGTGCAAAGAGCGCGGTGAGGCAGCCACCTGGAGGTGAAGTTGCGAAGATGGAGGAGGACTTGGGCGAGGGAGAAGAGGCCAGCCAGGAAGGAGGCCAGGCGGATTGTATTCAATTCAATGTTAGGTCGACGGCGTGAGTGGGCGAACGAGGCGACGGACCCAGTCAACCAGCGCCAGTGGCCAGTGGACGGGAGAGAGGGTGGGGGAAAGGGGGGGCGTGGGAGGGCAAAAAGGCCGCTAGACAGGGAAGGTGAGCGAGATTGGCCGCACTCGAGTTAGTGGCCTGGGCGAGATGGGACAGGGGCAGCGCTGGGCCCGGCCAAGGCCCATGGGATCTGGCACCCGGCCGCCTGGCATTGACTTGACTGCTGGGCTGCTGGGCTGCTGGTGGAAAACACGACATCTGGACGGAAACAATCATTAATGGGAAACATGGGGCCTTGGGGTCTGGTGCAAAATAGACGAGACGAGGCAGCGAGAGGCAAGAGGCGAGAAGCACGCCGCACACGCAGACGCAAGACTTTGATGCAAGTCGCAGACACTCGGTCCAAACTGCCTCGTAATCCTCCGTATTCGCCATGTCGTCGTCGCTGCGGCGGCTGATGATCAAGGTTTCGGTCCAGGCTGGACTTGGACTTGGTCTGGGACCGTCGTGGGCCTTAGCCTCAATCTCCATCCTCTCGTCCCTCTCTCGTCCTCCATTTGGTCACCATTCTCCTCCACCCTCTCTCTCTGCCATCTTGGCACCATGTTGCCATCCAGCAATCCTCTAGTGTTGCGTCCAGTGCGGTGCCACAGCCATGTATTGCAATACGGGCCTGATGGTGACTACTAGGTAGATACTGCCATCAGTCCCTCTGTGTCTAACAGAAACGTCCTGTGCCATGGTTTTTACGCGGGTTGCCGTGTTCTGTTATAACGGCATCGACTACTTGTCACTCCGTCATGGTTGGAACAGCCCTGAAGGATTGGAGCGTGCCGAGCATTTCGATCCATATTCAATGCACCGAGTACATACAATCAGTTTCCGGAGTACATGGTGTAACTCGGGCCTGGCCATATTCGTATAGCCGGTAAGGCTTTATACCTTTTCTCGTCGGGTCAGGCCGAAGGAGCGGGCCAGCTGATAGCTCAATAGTCGTGCCAAACTATAACGCCTCCATACCCATCCAGGCACACACAATACAACGAATAATATGTGTATGCTCTGTTCAACAGTTCGTTCTGCCACGGCCACGATACGTGGAAAAGCCCCCCGAACCCTGATTTGATACGAAGTGCGTTGACAGGGCATTTGGTATTCTTTATTATTAGTGCCTCGTTTTCCGGGACAAGCGACAAGAACAAACGGGGTGCTTCATTTTTTTGTGGCTTAGCTGACGGGTCCTATCAAGAATCGAAGATGGGGGAAATTGTGTGAGAGAGAGAGGAAGATGCAGTCGCCGTCGTCATGCCAAGCCATGAAAAGTCTCTCGCCAGACAAATACGCTGGCCATGAGCGACTAGCAGCACAGCGTCCCAGTTCATGGCTGGTGTCGGAGAGGAGAGTTTCGCACCCCGTACGCACGACAATCATACCTGTTGCTGGGGAACCTGGCGGCGTGTGCTCTACGACGCCCGCAACGGCAGGCAGCCAACTTCACAAGACACGCAAAACCTCAAATGGTTCTGGTGATACAGCCAGTCCGTCCAAGTCGGGCATTCCCTCTCCCAAGGGCTTGCCAATTCAATGTTCCATGTTCCATTACCCCTGGAGACCACCACCCAGCCCTGGCCCAAGTGTTGGGCAGTGCATTCAACAAGGGTGTCGCTAGCAGCCCTGATTTGTCGAGCGTCGTTGGCTTTTGGCGGACGCAGCCCCTGGTCCCATGTCGATACAACTGGCCGTGCCCATGCAGGTAACTTCCTCACTCGGTGCATTTTGAACACCACAATTCACCATCCAGAGAACCCCAGTTTGGCCAGCAGTACCCTCCAAGACTCCACAAAGCCTCCAGGGGTGCTTGGGGTGGTAGCACAGGCGGGAGTCTGCTTGTCGCAGTACTAGTAGCCAAATACAAAGACGGTTCATACGACCTTCGTTGGATCTCCGTTCATGCACACATGGATCCTTAACCAGTCCTTTGGTGGTTAATGGCCGGGCAACAAATGCCCTTGGAGGCTTGGATGTCGACACCACGAGTTGAAATGGGTCCACATCAAAATTCTTTGGACGCAGGGAGACAAGGAGCATCCCTACACTTCAGCTGTTGTTGCCTGGATTGCTACGAGCAGACTGAGCAGTTGCACAAGTGCGATGGAGCATACGAGGATCCTCGTCACTTCCATCACCGTACTGATATGTACCCCGTACTAAGTCTGTCTTTTGATACCCCGTGCATTATTATCACGGCTATCAATCTTCGTGCGGTGACTGAGCCATTGGGCGACTGCTTCTGTCTGAGGTGGTGACAGTTACCTGTGGCAATTCAAATGTCCACTTCGAATCCCTCGCCCGTCTAATTGCCTCTCCCTGTATTATTTGGCCGTTTCAAACTTACCTGCGGCCATCTCCAACGATTATCACGCCGGGGAATAGACTTCGCTGGAGCGCGGTTAGGAAATTGACCAGACTCATAATGGTGTTTCAACAGGGCCCAGCGACAGCCTCCAATAAGAAGTACTCGGTACGGAGTAGACTAACTAACTTGCATTTTGACTCTTATCTCGCTGACTTGGTGGGATCTAGTAAGACATGGATCCAATGTGACGAACACTCTGGTATCAATCACCTGTTGGTGGAAAAATGCAAGACATTATTCGTAATTGAAAGCCAGATCACTCATCATGTCAGCCACCAATCCAATGGCTGGATGACTGGCTATGTGCTGCTGAATGTCTCTTCATCTTCCGCTTGCCTCGGCCAGAATACCACCTTTTGCGGTGGTGGGAGTCAAGCACTGGAGCAAAGCACAGCCATATCAATGCAGGCTATTCATTATACAGCGAATCTCCATTATAAACATCTAGTCGTCGCCGTTTATTAGGGCTATGTGGTCGACATTCTATCTCTCACTTATATGAAATCCCCCCTGCGGCAGTTGGTGCTATACGGGCCAGTACGCCACATGTAACGATTGCTAGAATTCACTGCGGTTTGGTATCCCGGCTTCTCGCCGCAGCGTCGTGATGAATAAATATGTACTACGAGTCAAACATTTTCCGTCGAGAAGCTGGGACAGACTGTTTCTCACCACCAGGAAGACCATTGGTGCGGGTACGGGGAGCGGTTCGGCACTCTCTGCCGGCGCGCGGCACGTAACACACACAATGGAGCCAGCAACCTTGGAAGTCTGGGGACACGGTGACGGTGACGTCTCATCCTTTACTAATTTACCTCACGAAACACATCCAGAGACCCGTTCGACATTGCAATGAAGCCCGTCTTGGACAACACGGCGCGTTTGACCTCGGTGCTCTGAAGGAAATCGCCGAGGGCCTCCTTGCTGCCATCGACAGCAACCGCCAGACTACTCTCTCTCAGAAGCGACCGGTGCCTCGGCGCGGTTGTGGCACAGCATCTACGTCAAGGCATCGCGGCCGAATAACGACGATGACTTCTCATCCTGTACATGTTATTTTATTCAAATCGGCTAGCTGTCTTTGCCCTTCGTTTGCGTGTCTTGAACGGTCACTGACGATCCCAGATAACAGGAGTGTGGTAAGGAACGCACGGACTTCACACTTGACGGGATATGTTGATTTGCGCCGCCTGAATTTGAGGGTGTCTAGACACATTGAATCAGGCTTGTCGTCCTACTAATTGAAGGCCCTGGTTGGAGCAGCACGGTCCGGCTTGCATCGAATAATATGACGTGGCGCTCTTTGCCATTGGCGATCTAGCAAGGAAACTTTTCTCCTTCATATTCCACTTTTTCAAAATTTTCCCACACACACACACACACACACACAAAACACACACAAAGCACACCTGTTCAGCCAAGCCCTTGTTCAAGGATGAATACATAGTACTAACTTACTTGTTACCACCATCATGCCAGCTACTTTACGTAGTACTTCTCCACCAGTACCGGCGCAATCTCGCTCTCTGACAAGAAAGCGGAGTACTAGCTAGATGACAACGTCATCCCCATCGCTCTGGAGCCAGCCGGTTGCTCAATTGCACGGCCACTAGCTTTCTGAAGGGCCCAAGACTGGCCTGAATCTGTCCTGAAAGGACAAGGCCCGTGTGGTGACCGCCGAGCCTCACAATAGCAGTTAAGTTAGCCTTGAGTTTTGCTTTGTCTTGGCCTGTCCGTCCCCATCTCTATGCATACGCGAATCGTAGCTTAACCGCGGTTGGGAGAAAGGATGCTCATTGCCACGTTGCTTCACGTATCCATAGGCTGGGGTGTCGGAATACGAATATAGATTCAAGACAATCGCAAATGATCGACACTAGGTCTTCTGCAAACAGTCGGCATGACCTGGATATATTCATTTCCCGCAGCGCATCACGGAGAATACCTAAGTCATTAATTCGGTCCCTTGCATGCTCCGTAGTGTCTTCCTAGTGCTTGTCCCTGCACATATGTACATATGGCACTTGACGTCGCTCCGGGATCTTGAGTGGTTGCCCGGTGTATAAGTTCATCAACAAACAAATGATGCCAATATCGGATTCATTTCAGGTTGCGATAATGATAGCTTCTGCGCCGAATATTACTAGCTGCAGGACATCGGAGAAGGTCTGGAAATTGGACAGTCCCTGGTCCGGAGGACCTTGTTCATAATTGTCAGATTGCCAGGGATGCCCAGGCATCTGGGACAGCTGCCAAACAAAATTTCTCTTTTAGGCCCTGCACCATGCAAGATAAATTTGATGTCTGCACAGCGTAAGGTGGCTAGTCGCCCTTTATGCCTTGTCTGATGCGGCAAGGGCCGCAAATCCGACAAAAGAAGTGACTGTCTGTCTGTATGTACATGCCTTGGATTGTGTTGAGGTGCGTTGGTTGTACTAAACCAGGATGCGACCCAATAAGAAAACCCATATTTAAGGATACTTGAATCTCTCAAGAATATGGTAATAATAAAAGTATGAATAATTTGTGGTATATGAATATACTTTATAATTACCGACTTTGTGAGACTTGGAAGCCACTAAAAAGGTAGCTTCAAGGTACATACCTACCTAGGTAGGTACCTAGGTAGGTACCTATTCTAGAACAGTGGAGCCTGTACAGCCAACGGACATGAGCACAGCTTGGTCGTTGGTGTAACAGACGACGTGGCGCTTCAGAGCCACCTGATGTCTGGAAGGGCCAGCCACAGTAACGCTGCAGGCGGCCCCTGGAGGACCCTGAATTCTGCGCCACATTATGGGATCGGTGTGGCGGCCGTGGGGATGAGGGTGTCCAGATACACCGCCTTTGCTCTTTAGTATCCGGTCGACGGCAGAAAAAAACCTAGGTGGTACTCCTGCCTTAATGGTGAAGTTTGCCTTTCACTGTCACCGAAGATCCGACGACTCACATAACGGTAATGTCTGACGACGAGGCACCCACTCTTGTGCCGGCGGGGGGCCAGGAAAAGACAACCAAGTCCCTTGGTATGCGAAAAAATGGTATGCTATGCTTCTCTGGCAATCACGCGAAGAGGAACGGCTTTGGACTCTGACACCCGCACGTTCAGGCAAGCAGTGGCATGAACAGAAAAAGGCCTTTCGCCCAACCAAGGGCTTGACCACCTTTGAGAAACGAGCGAAAGAAAGAGCCGCTATGGCTCAAATGAAGGCAAAGGAGAAGGAGATGAAGGAGGAGAAGGAGGCAATGAGGAAGGTACGCACACAGCGCAGATAACGGGGTGGCTTCTGCAATCCGTGTGTAGCCAGTCAGTCAGTCAGTGGTACAGGGCAGTCGGCTAACTACCAAATTTACAGGAAAAAATCGAGAAAATCCGAGAAAAACGTGCCAAGAAGGAGGAAAAAGAGCGTTACGAGAAGATGGCGGAGACGATGCACCGCAAGCGCGTTGAGCGATTGAAGAGAAAAGAGAAGCGCAACAAGCTTATCAATTCATGAGACCATTAAAGAATGATTGGCATGGCAAGCTCGGAGCGAAATACACCTGACATATGCCGTGGTCGGATATGCGGGCAAAGCGCAAAATACGAACGAAAATACATGGATACGTTGGCTGCCGAGTAATCTGATCTGGCCAGGAGGTTTTCACGCATCGCGCTATCGTTTCGAATATAGGCGCTTTGCAGTAGTATAAGATGTGGCCCACGTCGCCGTGGCTGAAGAACAGCACGATTGAACATGAAACGAAACGAGGCTGTTTACAGTACACACGGATTACTTTAGAGTTTGCCAACACTTGTAGAAGTATTGTGTGGAAACAGTCAGGCATGGGCACCTACCTCCTTGCGCGTGGAGGTGTATGAGCAAATACGTCTAGTATTGACAAAATATTAAAAACTGCGCAAAATCTTGAATATTCGGACAGTATTGACTGTTGCATTTATTTCGAACATGGAGACGTTTTTGCAAACTAGCCGGCGCCATGTGATTGATTTCCACGGCCAATCCGTAAAGTTTCTTTGCTGGTGCTTGCTGGCATGTGAAGCAGGTTTCGGTCACGATTGACCGCCAGGCCCCACCCACCTCTTTTCTCGGAGCTCGCTCCTCTGACCAGCTAGAACAAGCAACACTCCATCGCTTTGCCTCTCATTGGGCTGCTTGCGTCACCCACAGACGGGTACTCGGCACGGAACATGGCACAAGAAGATCGGGCAATCTAACATGCTCAAGACGGAACGTGATGTCTACACTTAACGATGGCTTGGATGTTCCCAAGCGGTCATGGCCCTCGCAGCCTAGTGGGCGCCATCATATCAAGCGATCGCTGACAGAGCTCGCGTCACCCGGGAAGCTTCATCGTCGCCCACATCTGTACCGTCAACAATTGAGCCAATCCGAGGAAAAAGATAAGCCCCCACTGTCGTCGGCTATTCTTGCGGCGCAAGGTCGACATTCTCTTGATATACCACCCTCGACGACATCGACGCCGTTTATGAGTCCGAATCCGAGCCGACGTGCCAGTATATTGGGGCCGAGGGAAAATAGGGATGGGGAATCCAGGGAGAAGCGGGAGAAGATGGAAATCAAGACGCAGCTGGAACAGGAGAAGGCCTCGATACGAACTGAGTGAGTCCATGCCGGGTCAGTGATGCTCGCAGGGGTTGATAACAAAATGCTAATATTGCCCAGAGGTTTGAAGCAGTCGCTGATGGACCTCAACGCTTTCTCGACCACCATGACAAAGCGCCTAGATGATACGTACTACTCGGTCCTCGAAAAGATGAGCACTCTTCAAAACACGGTATTTGCTCTGAAAGATCTGGCTGAAGACTCTCATAACCTGTGCGAATCGTTCGACAAGGAGGCGAGAGATTTAGAAAGCGATATTATTCGTCAACTAAGTGCTGCTGGCCAATTTGAAGAGCAGCAACGAAGAATCTCGTCGCTCCAGAAACGCATACACAGGGGCCGTGATCAGATACAAACCCTCGCGTCCAGGGTTGACGTAGTCCAGACGAGGGTTGAGAGGTGGGAACAGGCCGACAGGCGATGGCAGGAAAAGACTCGCAAGAAACTCAAGATTATATGGTCCGTTACTACAGTTCTGGCTCTGGTCATGATCGCTTTCATAGTCGGCATGAATTACGCGAATGTGGAAGGGCAAGGTGGAATGCGGTGGAATGCGAGCATGAGCCCAAATGTACCTCCGTGGTTGACTACGTTGAGTTCCCACCATAGCGAGAGCACAGAAGAGTCTGGGAGGAGGTTGCTGTGGAAAGCGCCCCTCGGGGATGACGAGAGGTTGCGGGCGTTTGATGAATTGTGAATGATTTGGCAGTAATTTGCTCAAGCCGTTGACGCAGCATGTGGTTTGGCGTTTTAACTTGGATTGCTTGAAACATCCAACGAATCCAACGATACCCTTGGTCATTTATTTAGAAGAGTTTTCCTTGTCTGATGTCCTTTTAGGAATAGACTGGTGCATGACGGATCTTTGTGAAGGCAATAGGTGTGTGATTGGCGGTGTTGGTAACGTCAGCTAGGTAATTTCTTGTAAAAAATGCTGACCAACTTGAAAGCCCATTCGTGAAGCATCTCTTTGCGTTTGTGTGCTGACGACTTTGTATGTATATCAGCTTGAAAGAGGATGTAGAGCACGCGACTACTACTACCCTCTGTGTACTGCGTACAGAAGACTACATATCCATCATGGCAACTAGCTCAAATGGGCGCCAAGCTCGGCTTCACCGACGGGCTTCACGTAACGGGTGCATTTGTGGTTCAAGGTGCTCAGCCACAATTTGTGCTTGCAGCGTGACGTTCTGCCCCTCGCTGACTTGCATACGTTGCTGCAGGTGGGTGTAGGGTGATGAGTCGAGTTGACCTCGGTTGCGTGATATCCGCTGGATGGCGGCACGACGGCAATGATTGGTATTCCTGCATCTCTGCTCGTTGGAGGTCTGAATGCCCGCATCAACAGCGGCTGCGGTGTGAGCGGCAGTTTGGAGCCTCAAACGGTGAGAGCGGGCTTGGCGGCGGTTCCTGACGCGGCGCTAC